CAAAGATTAGATAGGGTTTAGATTAATCTATTACATCCCAAATGACGCGAGTCATTTAAGATAACTCTTGATAATGATTAGAGGTTTTGTCTTCAAGAATTCAACGTTCAGGTTTCCATTATTGCTTATAAGAAAGTCAAAAGAATGAAAAGTAGCAGATGTCGAAGATACTGAAGAAGAATCAGTGACATCTCAAACCAATCTATGGTTTGGCTTTACATTTTCGAAAAAGAAATTATAAGATATTTCAGTCCTGCAAGTTATTTACATATTTGGGGCTTATGTCTGCATGTCATGCAAATAGCCAGAGAAAATGTGAGGATTTTTGTCGTACTGAACGACGACTTCAGAATCCTAAAAAGTTTAAGACTTATATCGTAAGATATAAAATCGTAGAAAATTCTAAAAGATAATGTGAGGATTTACGTCGTGTCAGACGAACGACCTCGACGCTCTATATGTATGTTATTTAAATCTATTGAAGTTCGGCTGAAGCTCCTTTTTTTTCACCTTCTGTTGTAGTATTGACTGCTGCCCGGAGAAGAATTGCCACTTGCCCGTGTCGTCGTCTCATTCCGAGAAGAGGGGAGAGAGAAGAAAGAAAACATTTTATCGTAATCCCAAGGATTCTTATTCGTATAATCAAAATCAAATATTATACCTTATTCAATTGTTATACAATTTTACATCAAAAATCCAAAGTTTACCTTGTATATGTACATATCACTTTGCCTATATAAGAGGAGTTGTATGGAAGATTAAATAGAGTAATGATACATGCGTAAATGTAAAAGGTTCAATATATTAAACTGCAGCATGCAGCATTTTCATATAACCCTAGACAAACATATGAGTATCAAGTATAAAAGCCTCCATACTATTATGAAGTTAAGGAAAAACAAGCCTTATTTTACAGAATACACTTGGGATGGAGGCTTCCATTTGTATAGCTCTATTATAATTCCAACTTCAACAGCAAGCAAACAAGTGAGCAAAATGAAATTATGTACAGATGTGTAAATAGGCGTAGAAATATGTCTTCATCAAGGTGATGAGACAAATAAAGGTAAATAAAATGAGATTTAATTATTTGATTGGTGAATTCATAAAAATATAATATGTATGAAATCTTCCTTGATTAAAACCATTTTCATCAGCATTAATACCGTATAGCTTACCACCCTAACAAAATGTATGGAGGTATACATGTGAAAAAAAATACATTCAATCCTTCAATTCTTGTAAAACGCAGCCCATCAAAGTGGCATTTAGCAAATCCTAAGAAGCCAAATTTAGTAAACTCATGGAAGATTACGACCTGTAGAACTGCTACATAATGCGGTAGCATAAGGGGACTAAGGAAGAAAGTGCAGCATTGAATGCCTGTCATAGATTTGTGATGATTTGGATTAGCCCCTTGCTCATTTGAATTCTTTTTTTTAAGCTTCCCGAGGTATTGTTGGTGTGGCGACGTGCTCGGATTTACCTCGAAAGAAATCACAAAAAGGAAACAAACTGGATTAGCCCCTTGCTCATTTGACTTCTTTTTTTTTAAGCTTCGCGAGGTGTTGTTGGTGTGGCGACGTGCTCAGATTTACCTCGAAAGAAATCAAAAAAAGGAAACAAACAGGTATTACAATTCCACGATTCGAGAGGATTTAAATTGCATAAGCGTTGAAAAGAAAACGAAGTCTGTGAAATATATAAATACATAGGAAATAAGTGGAGATATGTAAGAAGTAAAATCTAAGTGTCGAACATGTGAGCATATAAAGATTGTGTGTCATGTTTGTAAATCTACCCTTCCTTCAAGAGATAGTTAAGAAATTAAGCCATTAGGAGAATGAAAAAGAACCAACAAATTAAGAATCGTCATATGTTATGTTGTCCTCAACAACATTTACAATTGATGGCTTAAGTAAACTGAAGTTTTAATACCAAATAATTTGAAACCAAAATTTGCAAAGGAAATTAAACTTCTTGTCAATAAAAAAAAAACTACCATACTTAATATTAAAGCATAGAATCAAAATTTATCACAATTTAAACAAAGAGAAAGATAGAAAATCTTGCTCCCAATAAATCTCAATCACAATTTATCCAGGCCATATTAAATTTGAAGTAATCTTATAATACTGCATGAATTTTTCTCGAAGTTCATTATTCACATCTCTTTTAAATACAAGAATTGGCCACAAATAATTCCAAATTTATTATCATTTAATGGGTTTCTTGTCCTTTCAGAGGTAGAATTAATTACGTTTCAGTATAAAAATGCAAATAACACAAGTCAGAGAAAAGGAAAGCTAACAAAATTCTTTGACGGCAATTAAGGACAAATGCAAGATTAAGCTAAAATTTCGCAAACCTATCAAATATCTCACAACTGTAAATCCAGTCTTCGTTCAATCATTACTTAAGCAAATGTCAGAGAAGTGTATTGAAATGTTTTGTCATTAAATCAAAGGGAAAGGTAACCGACCTTCATAAAAAAATCACAAGATGAATTAAGAAGTTAATCATACCTCTAGCATATTTAGAAAGAGTAAATCTCAAGAGAGCAACAAATGAAAACTTCAAGCCAGAGAAGGAATCGAGAGCCAGGGATTCGGAGAGAAACCAAACTTCCTTCTCGAAAACCTCATTATCGAATTGATTAGCAAAGTATTTGTTCACATCATTTCAAGAAACTAAAACAAAAAAACTCGATCTAGTAAACCACCCTGTAGCACAACTTTTGTAATATGAGAAAATAATCTGAATAAGCATATAAAGAAGTTGATCAAAACAAAGATCAAATTGAGAAGCAAGATGGCTTGAATATAAAATAAGAGAGAGATTTTCTTGCAAGCAGAGCAAGGCAGTATACTCTCATGGTTCAAACGATTAACAGAAACAGAAATCCGTACTGGCAAATTGGATGAATAGAAGGAAATTAAAAGATAAGGAAATCATTTATATTCTTGAACCATTGTAATAAGAAGAAGAAGAAGAAGAAGAAGAAGAAGAAAAAGAAGATTCTTACTCTTCGGCCTGAATGATCGAGGGAGAAGAAGAACCTTGTAATGTCGACGAGGGAGCACCGAGCGTCGGTCGCGAAGAAGAAGGGAGGCCAGCCAACCGAAATTCTTCCTTAGTGTACAAATCAAAAAAAAATCCCAACCCTAGATGATAGGAGGGGAAGAAGATCCTTGCGGCTTAGACAATTGGAGGAGGAAACTCTCCGCATGCAATTTTTCGCGCTCGGAAGAAGAAACTTCTTGGAAGCCGAAGGCAAACGAGTCAGGGGGCCCGATCAAGTCGAGTGAGTTTGATAGAGGGTCAAGGTCAGATCCCTTGAGGTATCGTGAGAGGGGGTATTTATAGTCGAAGAAAGGGGAGATTGCTTACCGACGAAGTAACCGGCGGCGAGAAGGTCGACGAGAAGAAGTCACCGGCGGGGGCACAGGAAGAAGGAGGGAACCGGCCGAGCCGGGCAAGAGAAGAGGAAGAAAAGAGGGGCAAGGGTTCGGCGGGGAGCTCACCGAATGGGAAGCGAGAGTTCGGTTAAGGCATGAAGGAAGGAGGCGCGAGCGGGGAAGGGAAATAGTGCGTCAGAAAGTTTAGAAAAACCCTTTTATTAAAAAAAATTTATTATTTTTTTTTATTAAAAGAAAATATTAAATTTTGTGCAAGCGTGACGCCCCAATAAAATGGGTGTCATCTCTAGCTAAAATTGATGTTCCAGACGCACCGATGTGGTCCTTTTTTTCATCCGAGGTCATCCGGACAAACTCGTCAACGATCACGTCAAATTAACTTCGATTCGTGCGCGACGCGACAAATGAAATTATTTTGACCCGATCGGAGCCGTTTAACGAGCGAATTGATGACCGGGTCTCGCCTAAACGACAACTATAGTCAAACACATCACTCATAGTGGCCAGTCAAACATCGCACGCGCCACGGTGTCCAACTACTTCTTTCAAATTTTTATAGGAGCTCAATTTGAGCTTCAATATGTCGGCTTTTTGATCGACTCAATCAAATGTTGAGGATCTGAAACAGTCCATATGAAACTACAAGTAGTGAAGAAATGACTTGAATTTCTAAGGGGTGTGGTCCCAGTATAGTTCTCTAAGAGAGTCAAAATAGGGAAATTATAAGGCTAGATCCTAGAATATCTAGAAAATGGAAGACCTCAAAATGAGGTCAACGGCTGCTACTATTTTAGACTCCTACGCTAATGTCTTAAAATCTACAAAAAGGTAAAGAAAAAATATGCACATTTTTTGAGCATGCACATTAACGTTTGGGTTGATTAATTTGATTATCTTTTATTCCGAGTTGCATGTTTTTCTATGTTTTTTCTTTCATTTAAACAAGGCATCAATTTATAAATTATCTAGTAAAGATACAATGTATAAAATATTTCTGCGGAGAGTACTCAATAAATATTTTGTTTAATCGTTTTTCTACCATTTACGGACTTCCGTTTATGAAAAAATATTACATCAGGATTCCGCATGTAGAGTTACGGGCGGAGTCCAATGAAATCATGTCAAACGTGAAAGTGAGAAAAAAAAATCAATCTAGTAATACAGAAGAATATTCCCCCCTTGTTATTCAAGTGTTATTGTTTGTTATTCATGTGTTATTATGTTCTGAGAATATTCCTGATGTTATAATAACACAACAACAGTTGAATGTTATACAATAACACAATAACACATGACTAACACGGGGAAATATTCCCCCGTGTTACTAGGCTGATTTTTTTTCCAACCTCACGTGTGGCGTGATTTCATTAGACTCCACACGTAACTCTACGTGTGGAATTCTGATGTAATATTTTTTCTCGGTTCATAGCTTATTCTTGCCTCCGCTTGCAATTAAATTCAACTAAAAATTTCAATATATATATATATATACACACACTAGTGATGACCACAATTCCCTACATAAAATTAAAATATATATTTTTATATATAATTATATATAATATGATAGAATACCCGACACTTTTCAAAACTCTGATTCCGTCTCTATCGCAAAAAAAAAAAAGTCGAGATGCGTCTCTCCGTCCACCTCTTCATCTTCTTTCTCCTTGCCAACTGTAGCATCTTCTTCGTCAAAGCCCAGAAGCAGTACAAAGTTGGCGGCGACGAGGGATGGCGAGTCCCAGACAACAGTAATCCCGACTTCTACACCGCCTGGGCAAGCAAACTCCGCTTCCAAGTCGGTGACACAATCGGTAACAAATCCCTCACTCTATTACAACAATGTTCTTCATTTCATTTTATACATTAAAATCTGTTTTCCATCTTTAGTCTTCGAGTACAAGAACGACTCTGTGATTCGGGTGGAGAAAAGAGGCTATTACCACTGCAACGAGAGCAGTAATGGCGCCCTGTACAAGGACGGCAGCACTGTCTTCGTCCTCGACAAGCCGGGCCTTCTCTACTTCGTCAGCAGTAACATTGAACATTGCAAGATGGGTCAAAGGCTTATGGTCGACGTCATGGCTTCTCACGGTCCACCATTTTCAGGGGCGCCCGGTCCATCACCGCACTCCAGCGCCACTGCCGGCAACGGCGGCTTCCTTCCCCTTTTGGTCGTGGCGTTTGGCACGTTTTTAGTATAAAAGTGGAATCTTGAAGACTGGAAAGCGGCTGCGGAGTGTTTTGATAGTCCTTCAGATTAGAAATTTTAAACTTTGGATTTTCTATGCTTTTATTGTTAAGTTAACTTGTGCTGTGAAATGTAAGAACTTATTTGTCCTTGTTTTTGGCGAACTTTGTTTTAAAAGTGTGGGCTTTTCTTCCATGAGGATTTTTATTTCCTGTACCGGGGCTTTTGAATGTCTTTAGACCTTGGTGGTTTACAGTCCTTCGAGTTTCATGGCTGCAAAAATTATGTGGTTATATTTATGTTTTATCGTATTTTATTATTTTTTATGTGCTGGAACTTCTCTGATTATCATTTTCTACTAGGGTTATACCAATGTGATGTAAAAACTTTGTTTCAAGGGAAATGTTCAATTTTGATTTTCTTGAGACAGGACTGAAGATATTAAAATATCATATTGTATATTGGATTTTTAATACGGTTGATTGAATATGGCCGTTCAGGTTGAATCTTATGATGTGTTAAACCGGACTTACGCCGATAACAGAGAAGTGTATCATTAAAGATCACCTAAAAACACTACATTATGGGAGTGATGTGCTCAGAAATATTTACTACAGTTCTTAAAAATCTATGTATATGATTAATTTACAAATTTTCATAGATTAGGTAAAAATTCTTAAATATTGTATTGAAATTTCATAATTGGGAACTATTTTAGGCATATTGGAGTCGAATATTCTTCAAATATTATATACTTATAGCCATAACTAGCATGTCAATGAGATGGACCTAACAAGTTCAGGATTTCTCAATTTAGAGCTTGACACAAAGCTTGAATTTTCAATATAAAATATAAAATAATTAAAGGAGGCTTTTTCTAATGTCCATATGACATCTAAGATTCCTTTCAAATGATTAGATAACAACTTCTAAAAATTAATAAGTATGCTCTATTTTATAGATTCCTTTCAAATGATTAGATCACAACTTCTAAAAATTAATAAGTATGCTCTATTTTATAAATTTAAATCAATCTGTTAGTATAGTTAAAACATACATTTGATCTTTGAATTAATACTCATCATTGACTAACAATGCTATCAAGCATCACCCAATAACAGATGTTGATTAACATCAACACCTGCCAACTTTGGCCATTCGCCAACGTCAACGCCCTTAATTAACACCACTTGTCTTTCTACTCACTTATCCTTTTCTCTCATCAATTTAATGAATAATTAATCTTCTTGGTATCACTTGACTCTAAAGTTCACTATTGATTGTCTTCCAATGCATAAAAATAGTCAATGTCTATTTGTTTACTATTTTTTAGCATCCATTAACCATTGCAATATAAATTTTAAGCTCTGTTATAAAATTTCTATTTGTAATAAAAATTATCAAGCTAATTTTCCATCATCACATAATTTCTTACATTCTCGATTGATTATCACTTGATGCTGGCGAATGATTAAGATAGGATGTAATTTTAGTGACTTACTAATTAGGTTCATTTTTTCGGTTGCCTCGTTTTCAAGAATTTCCAAATTAAATACTAACCATCACTTAGCTTTTCAAGTTCCCTATCACATGTTGCCCAACACTAGTTGATGTTTTTGTACAATATCATCAAACCGAAATATATAGTAATCTTCTTAATTGCTAAGTTTCCTCTAATATCAAATTCATGACTTAGCTAATTAAGAACAATAACAAAAATTATGAAGTTCCATTCCAAACATGGCTTAATGCATTATCCTCGTTGTATTATCTCTCCTTTTATCAAGAGGGACTGAATCAACATTAAACATTGCCTTACTTTTGATGCTATCATTTCATTATATTTTGTTGCAAATATTTTCCTTTTATGATTTTCTATATTATCAACAAAATGACAAAGAGGTCCTCCTATAATCACCAAATTTTTAAACTTTATTAATGTCGTTATTTGATGCTAATCATGTCTTACTATATATCAGTTAATAGCTACTAATCTATGACAATTCATACACATCTTCTTGGTCTCTCAATCTCCCTTTCTATTCAGAGATTGACAAATTAAATAGTTATTTTATTTTAAAATTTTCTATTAGTTTTTTATAAATACTTGCATTGACTAAAATTACATATCCATTAGCAGTTGTCATCAAGTATTCTTCGTCCATCTCTCTAGTTGATCATTCTTTTTATGAAGTTAACTACCCATTATTGCTATACATCCAACATTCTTTATTGTTTCTCATTTATGGTAAGGAAATAACAAATATCTAATATCCATCAATTATTGACATCTAATATGCATCTTTCTGGTTATCTAGTCTTCCCATATATTTGGAAAGCACCATTTCCATTGTACTTAAAGCTAATGTTTTTTCCTTCTCAAATATTTTTATATAAAAATTTGTGTATTTCATGTCATGCTTTTAATTTGTCCATGCATGTATATGTGATTTATGTTTACGGTTAACATGTGAAAACAAATTTTGCTATAATGATTATTCAAGGATATACTTAATTAATATTGTCAATTTGAAGTTCATATTGATCTAAAATATGAAAAAAAAAATATTTATGGAAGGTTGAAAATATTTGAATTATTCAAGGATTTCGAAGGCAATGGAAATTATTATTGAGCTTTTTAAAATTTGTTAGTAATAAAATGGCATACTAATGAAATCATTAAATTAGTATGAGAGATTTTTTAATTGAATTGTATTGTGAAGATTTAAGATTATTTGTAATCTAACTTCGTAGTTCATAATGAAAATATTCAACCAAGGAAGACAAATATAATTGTCAATTTTCAAGTATAAGTTTTAAAGCTTCAATGAATAATTTTTTATGTAAACTTATATTTTTTGCTTAATCATAGAATGTGGAAAGGTCCATAAAAGTCACCCAAAATTGTTTAGAAATGGGTAGAAAATGCTAGATAGAAAAAAATATGTAATAAGAGTATCCATAAATTGTTTTAAAATAATCTAGCAAAATTTTTTATTGTACTATTTATTGGTCATCCATGATCTCTCTCTACTTTTCATTACCTTATAATAATACATGAATGTCTCCATGTTCTACTTAAAAAAAAAAGGATGTGTTTTAATTTCAAATGTTTTTGCTAAAGTGCAAAATAGATCAGGTTTGATGGTCTATTTGCTAAAGAGGAATTATGAATGATTGTATGAGAGTGTTCTTCTCATGTAACAAATTCTATAGGACGAGGTAATAAGAGATAACCTATGAGATAGAACTAAAAGAACTATTGGTATTATTTTTCTTACATCAAATGTTTAGGATGTTCACTGAAGTATTATGGAGCCATGTTTGATGCAAGTGAAGTTTTTCGTAGTTTAAAGCATCTGACATGCCTAAAATATTTTTCTTTTATTTGTACATTTAATGTCTATTTTTAATGATATTGTGCTTTGATAAAAGGTATTTTTGATGTTTTTGGTTGTAGGTACACTAAATGGACTAAATGGAGCAAACAGAGCAAAAAATGGAGCAAATTGGATTCAAATGAAGTAAAAAGGCCAATGTTTATTTGGCATATAGGTGCCAGCGACGGCTATCTAGAAGATCCATTGAATTTGGACGAATTCTGAAGAGGTGTTTGAAGAGACTCTTGGGGAATTTGAGAGTTCTATTTAAAGAGACTTTTGGAGATTCAAAAGAGAGACTTTGGGAGGAAGAAAAGGGAGTCTTTTCTAGAGAAGTGAATTCTTCCTAGAGAGGAGAAAGTCTTGAAGGCTTGCTGTGGATTTGGAGGAAAAGAGGAGAAGTGAGAGATATCATCTTCATTACAGATTCCAAGTAAGTTTGGAGTGAACTGTTAGGAGATTGAGTGATTCAAATGAACTTGAAGGATTGCATGGGAAAGAGAAGTTGTATACTTTATTTATTTTACTTTATCTTGATTTGTAAAATTTTATTTATCTATAAATCTATGTGTTGTTGTTTCTTTCCCATGAGATATAAGTAGTTTCATTTGTCTTTCTCCCTGCAATGAGGAATTATTATGTGCCTGAATTTCAAACGAACCGAACACGAACACAAGCTTTGTGGTTTAGTAGAAGTGCTTTTAAAATTCCATAAATTGTGATGATTCAAACTCTATGCTTCATTTACTTATCAATCTGGCTACTTGTTTGTTAAAATTTGTTGTAAAACATAATGACCTGAAAAGTGATATGTTCCAACATAGTAAGAATCACATTTAGGGCTGTCAAATTAGCTCGTTGTTCGCGAACAGTTCGTGTTCGGTTCGTCAATGAGTTTGTGTTCGATTTGTTCGATAAGTAAATGAGACAAACATGAACACATTTTTTTCGTTCGGTTAGTTAAATGAACCAAACACGAACAGTGATGCGTTCGTTCGTGTTCGAATCATTATTGTTCGAAAGGAGGGGAAGTGGGAATTCTAGAGTGAGAGCTAGTATCTTCCTAGCCTAACCACGGGTTTAGGGACCAATATCTGGATTAGCCAGGGTTTAGTGACCAAACTCTGGAGCCAATATTTTTTAGACACTTGACCTAGGGTAAAGAATAAAATTGCTTCTATTTGGCATAATATCTTAGTTATATTTTCAAATTATTTTCCTACACTAAGTATAAAGTCATTGCAAGGGGAAGGATATTTTATATAAATTTGAACTCTTCATACATTATTAGTTTAAAGTAGAGGTAACTTTGCATTTTAAAACCTTTTTAAAAAGTCTTGCATTTACTTAGCATACTAGCATTCCATTATTTCTATAGGATTAGATATTTCTCAAAAATTTGTGATCATTTCCTATATAAGTTTTTCAACAGCTAACAGTAGATTTTATTAAATTTAATTTTACAAGAGTTTTGGATTTTCCCCTTGGGATTGATATTGGATTTTTAAAGAAAATTCTATATTACTTGAAACGATACATATACTTGAGTAGTATCCCTAGTGTGTAAATCATTTTTATCATCTTTATATAATATTTAATTTTGCACACTAGCCACTAAATATAAATTGGTTCAAGCTTTTGATCGTATCTCTAAAATTAAATAATTGTGTAACTACAGGTCGGATCAAGTTTTTGGCTCCTTTGCCGGGAAAACATAGCAACAAAATCTTTTTAACTTATTAAAATCTTAATTTTAATTGTAGAAAAATTTTAGAGTTGCTTTTATATACATTCTTATATTTAAAAATATAAAAAAAGTTATATTTACTATTTTAGCTAGTGTGTTTTGCTTATTTTAATATTTATCTTTAAAAAGTGTTGGAGTAGTGCAAGATCTAAAGGTTTAGCACCTAACGATTATGAGTTAGAGAAAACTATTAGAAAAACTAAAAAACAAAAATAAATTCAGAATTTCAAGAAATGGCAAATACTATACATAATAATTTAGAAAATCAAGTTGATGAGAATGTACCATAAATATTAAGAGATTATGTTAACCCTATGGTAGATGAAAGTCATCGAAGTATACAAACTTCTGCTGTAGAAGCTAATACATTTGAATTAAAACCTGCTATCATTCAGATGATAAAAAAATAACTAAATTGAGGAAACTTCATCTGAATATCTTAACTTACATCTTACAAGTTTCTTTGAACTTTGCGCTACATTTCAGTATAATGGTGTCTCCAATGGTGTTGTTAGGC